ACCAAAATGTATTAGATTTTGTGTTCAGATTGTCTTTCTCCTTTCTCAACAAAACAAAACAAAAACAAATATATCCCTCAGCTTGGGCTGTTGCTACATCTCAGTAGACCAAGCACTTGCTAGCCTTGATAACACAAGGATTTAAGTTTGATTCCCAGAACCCATTTCTTTTCTGGAAGAAAGGAAGGACATATGGGGCTCTTTGCTCCAAGAGCTCTAAAATTTTTGTTTTTGAGAAAGGATCTCATGAGATCTTTAAGAATTTTCAAAGAGTGCCCCATCATCCATATCCACTTCCAGAGAGTGCTCCATCATCCATACCACCAGAGAGTGAGTTCCCCATCATCCAAAGAGTGCTCCATCATCCACCACCAGAGAGTGCTCCAACATCCACATCCACCCAACCACCACCATCTGTGTGAGCCACTATGCCAACCCCATGATGGAAATGGATGGAGTTTATCCTGTGATGAGCCATCAGTCACTGGTTGCTTGCCATAAAATCTATACACTACTCCCCCTCTCCCAGTACTAAGGCCTGAACCAGTGCCCTGTATGCTAGGCAAGACCTCGCCTCCGAGCTACAGCCCTCTACTGACTTTTGCTTTTACAGAGGGTCTCATCGAGTTTCCCGGGAAGGTCCTGAACTTGACACGGCCTCCTGAGTACTGGGATACAGGCTTGTATAACCATATACAGGGCTCACATCACTGTGTCGATGGGACCTTCCATGGCTCCCCGCCACTCCAGAGTTTGACCTAGGCTCTACCTTCATAGAGAAGGTAGCTTTGGAGAATTTGGCTCTTCATGTACAATTATGGGTTACAGAAAACAAAGTAAGACCACCCTGAAGTATCTTACTGCCTGAAATCACACCTGTCCCCAAACATGATTCAACATTGAGCTCTCAGCTTCCAAGGCACTTCCCTGCCACCTCTGCTTTTGGTAGACAAAATTCTGCCTTGCTGTGTGGTTAAGCGACAAGCCCCACTTGGGTGGGCTTGCTGATAGAGCTCCTGGGGGAGGAGGGATGGCTGTGGGTAGCGAGTCCACATTTGGGCACAGTGGGTCTGCATCCGGGCTGTTCACACCCAGCTTCAGCTCACAGGAAACATTCTAGAATGTCAGCCTGTTTGCCTGGGTACACACAGGCCCACAGCCCTTGGCAGAAGGTAGAAGGGAACACAAGGCATCTTCTGCATCCAGGACCATGAACACACAACACACAAACATTATCTGAATTCTTTAAACAGAGACCCAAAATAATTTTAATGCAAATGACAAACATGGGTTAGTCTGTCTCTGTCACATGCCCCACCCATGAATTACAGTACTTTATAAAAATGTTGTAAGATGCGCAAACTAAAGTTCCTTTAAATACAGTGATGGGTTTGGTCCTAATACATGCTTCTTGGATATCCTGACTGACTTTGTCATTGTTCTTTGGTAACTAGTGATAAGCACCAATTCAGAGCTGATCCTACATAGGAGAAGGGTGGATCTGTTCTCCCTCACACCCTTTTCTCTTTCTAGCACTCCAAATGCAGGGCACAGAGCAGGAGAGAGGCACCTCTCGTGTCACAGGGAGATGTGGGCACCGAATGCTGGCCAGAGTGGCAAGCAGCCAAGACAACCCTCATCCCATGCCATCACATCAGATGATTTGCTTCTGCAGGCCTGGGCTTTCTGAGGTGGAAATTCATGTTGGCTTGGGCCCTGCTTTCATGCCCTGGCTTGGTCTGTTTGTTTCCATTGTGACTACCAGAACATTATTACAGAAAAGTCCCCAAGGGGAAGGTGTAGAGGACCCTTTAGACAGGCCTCAGTGAGCGGGGGGAAGTTCTCCGTCAAGGCAAGGGGTAGTCACTTGCCCTATCTCTGCCCCATGCCACCTTGGCACTCTCCCCAAGGGAAGGACAGAAAGGAGGATAGCAGAGACGGAGGGAGGGAAGCCAGTCTTGTACTGAGGAGGTGTCCATGGTGGCTCTAAAGCCACTCAGCCCTGACAACCCCAGCTCCACTGGAACTGAGCTACTGATAACTGACCCCTCACAGAAGCTCACATGCAAACGTGTTTAAATGATGCAAATCTACACACCCTGTCCCAGAATCACCTCTCCAGCTTGATGCTAACAATGGGGAAGGGAACCAAAGGGAGAAGATTGCCATCTTAGAGTCCTTGGATCTCTGGTATGATCTTCTCATGGCCATGTTTATCAGGACATTCTTACTGACTGGAGGGCAGCTGGGTTCTCCTCCTCCAGTGCCCATCTTGAGAGCCATGGCTCTGGGAATCCTTTCCTGCTGTCTCAGTGTGGGACATGTGGGATCCTCTACTAAAGTACCCTCTGGGGAAACCCCAATGAATGGCACCTGTTGAAGCAGAACGGAACTCTGTTTAGAGCAGTGTAGATGCCACAAGGCACTGCAAGGCAGGCACGCAGAAAGTGGGCTTCCTCTCGCCGCGGGAGGTTTTCACTGTGGCCTCGCGGCTGCTCCACCACTGGTGGCCGTTTTTCTGAGTGGTTCTGGCGTGTGTTCTTCACTAGCCCGAGTCTCACGAGGAATGGTTTGAAAGGTAACCTTTGCACCTGACATGTGGCAAGACCCATTCATGTTGAATGATGGGTAGATGAATGGATGGAAGACAGATCTGAGTCTCCAGAAACAGGGGCCAACAGAAGCACCCACTTTAGAAAGAAGGGCAGGAAGGACAGGGCAGGGAGGAGGCTGCCCAGCCCACCTCGCAGGTAGAGGCTTATGGCCTGGGAGAATGGCACAAGTGGCCCAGATACAAGCAGCTGTGAGGGAAGCAGCGAGAGCTAGCGGAAGCCAAGGTGTGGCTGGCAGTGGGGCCATCTTAGTGTGATGAGACTGCTAACATTTCCAGGGCGACTCTGCTCCCCTGGCTCTAGGGCTCTGACCCCCAGTTTCAGTGCGTCTAAGCGTACTGCAGGGAGAACATCGGAAATTCAGATATACAGGCCCACCCCCTTGATGGATTCTGAGGGTCTTCGAAGTGGACCTGAGACTCTGCGTGTAACAGAAGCCCTAAGGAATTACCTTACATGAACTAGGTGTTAATATTTGAGGATATGGACTCCTCATCGCCCCACGTGTGGCTGCCAGAGTGGCGTGGGCAGGGGAAGGGGTGGAGGGAGAGGGGCAGGGCAGAAATCTACAGAGAGCCTGTGCCCAAAAACAGGCTTTTTTTCCACCTTTGGCCACACCCCACCCCAGGTCCACCGGGGAGAAGCATCCTGCGGATTCCACATTGCTGGATCTTGCTAGGCCTTGCTGAGACTCTCGGTGGGCTTGCATTCTGAATGCCAGCCTTCGTGGTCTGGTCTCAGACTCCAAGAAGGCAGAAACTCCTCTTTCTCTCTTCTTTTTTTATAAAAGCTTTTAAAGGAAACAATATGTTTGCTAGAAAAACCACAAAAATGATTATATACAAAATGGTTATGTGAACGTGTATGCCATACTGTGGGGAGAGGCTGGGCTTCAGAAGCCTATTTGCGCTTCCTCAGGATCATGTACATGAGGCCGCTGATGAAAGTGAAGGAGAAGGATACCCAGGCTAGAATGAAAGAGTAGCCATAGCTGCCTTCCTGCATCAGGTAATAGACTTTGTAGTTCTGTTGGTGAAGGTCTTGGCGCCGGTCTGTATAAATGGAAGCCCCGATCATGGCACATAAACCTGTCAGGAAACCAAGCCAGGGGTCAGATATATTGCAGACCATGGTGTAACTTGGAACTAGCCTAACATTTGGTAATGTACTCCCACCAGCTTAAGAGTCAGACCTCAAGTCCCTTCCCCAGCCTCCGAGAGCCCATCTGGTCTGAGCCTGCACATTCTAGCCCTGACAGTTCTGGGCTCTTCATCCGAGGCTCCTACCCGGCACACTGCTCCTTGCGCTGTGTACCCAGAAAACACACTAGATTGTGGGTGTCGTGCTCATAAAACCCACGCTCAGGCTTCATGCTTCGGGGACACCTTCCCTTACCCCCAACTAAATCCAAACTCCTCCATATTAAGTGTGTGGCTTGCTTCTCCCTTCTGGGTGTTCCCCGACTTCTCTCCTCCAGTTATTTTGATGGGGGCACAATGCAGGCACAGCATAAGTTACATAAGAAGAACACGTGTGCGCTCCTTTCTGTAGGACGGAATCTGCATGTACCTGCTGCTAATGGTCTGCTTGTTCTGAGTTAACCTTAATTCTAGATGTCATCCAAATTGCCTACTGAGAAGAAATGCAAGACTTGGTGGCCTTGGTGCCTGCAAGAGAGCTGATGACAAGGGAAAGGGGAGGCTTGGAAGCTTGGAAACAGGAACTACCCCCAGAGAGATTGCCTGAACTTGGAATTGTCTTTTTTTTTTTTTTTCTTTGCTCTGGCTCTCTGCAAGAAGGAGCCTGGGAAAAGGACCAAGGACCAGAAGGCCCGCTTCGCTCTGGCTCCCAAGACTGCCAGCTACTGGAATAACATATGATTTAAAGACTCGGTTCCCGACTTTCGCTTCTGCGGGAGGCAGCAGGGACTGCCCCCAGTCTCACTTACACGACATGAGCTGGATGATGGCTGTCAGGATGAACCTCTCTCCCTGCTTGAGGCGGAAGAGCTGGAGCAGAAAGATGAGGAAGGAGAGGCTGCAGAGGATGGTGGAGAGGATCATGGTGGCCTGCACGGCCTGCATGATGGAGAAGTCTGTGGGTAGAAGGCGAAGGCATATCTGAGGCCCGAGACACCACAGAGGGGTCCCGGGACTGCCTACAGTCAGGCATGTCCATCCAACCTTTGCACATGGCAACACAATACTGCCGTCTACAAACCACACTGCGATCGGCACAGCCACGGGAAAGCTCCCGTCTTAAGCAAATTTACAGCATTGATTGGGCCCCCTCAACCCTAGCTGTGGGATATGGGTCGCAGACTGGATACACCTGGTCAGCGGAACGCTCCCGCTGCTGTGGGATTTTGCGCCCAACTCCCTCTAGTGTCCAGCTAGGCACCTGACCAAAACACAACTTGGCCAGAAGATGGAGCCAGAACTCATTACTCTGACTTCTTCCTGCTCTGGGTCGAACTTGACCTGTTTGGCTCAGGAACAGAAGTACAGCCCCGGAGCTCAAACGGCAGCTTCCTTGCTTGCCTGAGGCTGGCTGGAGGGAGCGCCGCTCGCAGAGGCCCGACGAGAAATTTACAGCAGTGGAACTTAATGCATCCCAGCTGCATGCACATCAGGGGCCCGCAGAGAACGCCTGACTCCGCTTCCTTATTCTTTCTGGCGAACAAACATATTCTCCAGCACAAACATATCGCCTGACTCCACTCCTCAGGGCCAAGATCAGGTGCAAGGAAGCTGTGGTGTGTGTGCGGCAGGGCTGCCTGGGTAGGAACTGAGGGGAACGGGCAGAAAGGACCTTGTGGGGTGTTAAGAATATTTCCTACTTAGTTTTCAATAGTGGCTTGCTAGGAAGGAGCATATAAAAACTCATTGAGCCCAGGAGCCCTTAAGAAGTGTGTATCCCCATGTTTGCTAATGACAGCTCTGTTCTAAAATCTATTACCAAACTTCACCGAGACAAAAGGAACCGGAACACTGGACACTGAGAACACTCATCTGGGGGCTTCTAGAGTCTCCTGGGGAATTTCAAAGTGGGCCAAGGTTGTGACCCTGTGGCTCTGAACATCACTTATTAAATTTTCCACAGAGCCACCGAGAACGGCTTGTTTGAGCTGCTGTTACTCTGGGGTGGGTGCCTAGAATCTGTATTTTTAGCAAGAATCCCAGGTGATTCATGCCTGGTGATGAGGCAAATGAAGAAACTGGTTTTGTGAGGGAAAATGACTCTATACTTTTAGCATAGGCTTTCTTGGCATTGGATTGCAAAGTGTGCCGCTGGCAGTTAGCTGTCAGTGCCGGAGAAGCTCAGCAAGGCACAGAGAGCAGAAACTCAGTGGGGATGTGTGTGTGTGTGTGTGTGTGTGTGTGTGTGTGTGTGTGTGTATGTGTGGCCTTGCTGTGGCTTCTGCATTCCTGGAGGCCTCAGGAACCGGCTCACTCACAGGGTTAGCACCTCACAGCACCTGCTAAGAGCCCTCCATGTGCACAGTTTCTGCATTCCTGGACTCAACAACCGTTTTTGAGGTATGTGGATTGGGGGAGAGCCTGGAAAGTTCCAGAAAGCAAAATTTGAATTTGCCATGTACCAGATCGGATCCACACAGATGAAATGACATACAGCGATTGTATCCGATGTCATAAGTCATCTAGAAACCAAAGCATAGAGGAGGGCACGCATAGGCTCCATGTAAATTTGTGCCATTTTACATCCTCTGGGGTCCTGGGGGTGGGGCAGAGGGTGTCTCAGAACCAGTCCTGCAGGTTCAGATGCACAGCTACAACTGCATGTAGGGTGCTTATGTTTTTGTTTTAACACAAAGAGAATCGGGGACGGGACCGTATGGGCTGGAGAGAGCACAGCGGGTTACAGCGTCCGCGGCCTTGCTAGACAACCTGAGTTATGGAAGGCAGAGAGAACTGACTCCCACGGATTGTCCTTTGATGTCCACGTGTGTGCCATGCCCTTTGATGCAGCCAGTGTGGTCAGACTTCCCCGAGGGTCTCTGGCTTTTAGTCTAGCATTTTCTCCTGCTTTCATATGACACCAGTTTACCACCAATGGTAGGACCGGAATGAATTAACATATGGAAATAAATTTATATGTGGAAAAAAGTCTGAGCTGGCAGGATTTTCTTTTTATTCAGCAAAGAGTCAGGCAATACATAATTCAAGCTTCTGGTCACATTTTCTTTTTCTTTTTTTTGGGGGGGGGATTTTGTTCCTTTCACAACTCTTAAGATGTCAGAACCATCCTTAGCTCTTGGGCCATACCAAACAGGCCTTAGGCTGAGTTTAGCTGGCAGGACACAGATCCCTGCAATAACATGGAAATAATCCCACATGGAGAGCAAGGAACACAAACAACAGAGGCCCCACACCACTGTCTCTGGGCACACAAGCTGTCTTGACTGACCCTGGTCACCACCACAGCTGACTTCCCAGGGCTCACGTCAGCATGACATACAGGGACAGAGAGCAAGCACAGCGCCCTAGGTCTGCTGAGGTGGTCCTGCCTGGTCTACCTGGGTCTGTGATGGGGTACCAAAGTTCCGCTCACCTGTGAACTCATCGCTGCCACTCAGGTCATTGATCTCTGTGCAGTTTGTACTGTTGATGCACACTCTCCAGATGTCCGCTGAGAAGTCTTCTCCAACCCACCAGGCCTGCAAAGGCAATGGGAGCTGCTGGTTAAGGACGCAGACCCCAAGTGCTGCTGGCTTGAGGAGCAAATGTGGGCCCTTCTCAGAGGGCAGAGCACAGCGAGTCTCCTGGGGACTTCATTCAAATGCACACTCCTAGTTCTAGGTCTGTACTGAGTCTCTTGGGGCGCCAGGCTGCTAGTCTTCAGAAGGACCTGAGGTGGCCCGTGTTCTCAGGATGCACGGGGGGGGGGGGCACACTGAGTTAGCAGCCATCAGAGTAAATGGAGACCAGTTCTACCAGAACGGCAGGGACAATGTGTAAAAGGAAGGATGACACCAAGGGACAGCCTGCTACAGTAGCTAGGGAATGGAGCCAGGCTGGGCGTCTGGATGCTGAAAATGTGGTACATGTACAGAATGAAACTGAAATAAAACCATGGCATTTGCAGGAAAATGGGTGAACACACCAGGCTCAGGAAGACTAATACTCATGGTTTCTCTTACTAGATTCACGACTGTGTATGTGTGTATATTTATGTGTGTGCTTATAGGCCATGGGACTAGGACTGGGGTCAGAGCCAGGGAGAAGACTTTTAAAAGGAGGGAAATAGAAGGTAATGGAATTCACATGACCAGACAGCCGAAGGGACTCACAGGGGAAGAAGGAACTAGCTGGAGGAGGGGAGCCAAGGAAGGGCGGTAGAGGAGGGGAGCCAATGAGAACAAAGAATGACATCACACCTGTATGAAGATGCCGCGAGGAAACCCATTACTCTGTATGTTAACCCTAAAAATCAATTCAGAAAAGCATCCAAGGCCTGGCAAGATGGCTCAGGATGAGGAAAGGCTCCTGCTTCTGAGCCCGGTGACCTGATTTATTCCCAGGATCCACATGGTGGAAGGAGAGAATCAGCTCCAGAAAGTTGTCCACTGACCTCCATACATGTGCCACAGCGCCCCCTCACCCCGAGCAAGGAATGATAAATAGAAAAGCTTAAATTTTTTAATATTCAAACAATAAACAAATTAAAATGAAATGTAAAGGGGGGCATCCTGCGATGAGCAGAGGAGACTCCGCCTTGGCCCCGTGCCTTTATTTCCCTTGCACTTCTGTTTCTGCCCCTTACCCTTGATGGCCTGCCTCCTACTTTCTGTCCCCCAAAGGCTGGGTGTCTCCTTCCCGCCCACTGGACCCACAATCACCCGCATTCCCACTTCACAGCCAGCCTCAGGGGCAAGCACAATTTCAAGTACATACCAAACACGGGCTGACTCACCGGCGGGCACACCTCTGTCCATCATCCTAGTGCCATGCTAATATAAACACCTGGGTGTGGGAGCACATTCCAGCGCTCCCCCCCCCATACCCCTCCTCCGTGCCCATCTAACCCTTCCACTAAGCCTGGGAAATCTCTGGGATCCTAAAGGACTAGCTGCAGGTAACATACACACACGCAAACACGCACACACACACACATGCACACACGCACGCACACATGCACACGTACACACGCGTACACACATGCACACACACACACTCTAAAACCTTCAGTTTATGTTTTCACACTGTAGGCTCCGAACACTTTAAACCGACACATCTATGTGACCGCAGCCTGGGCCACTCAGCAGCTCGACAAGACCCTCGAGAAGGCTGTGCCCACATCCTCTGGCAGAGCCTAACGAGGAGTCTCTGGGATGGTTCAAGTCCTCGCTCTACCTCTTACTATAGAGAACACTCTGGCAAGGGCCAGAACTGACTGAAGGCTCAGTCCCGTCTGGGAGCTATCAGAGGCAAGCCCCTACCTCCTGGATTGCCCAAGATGATGCACACAAGAGGGCTGAATACTGCCAAGGAGGTCACTGGAATGACGAATGGAAGACTTAATGGTACCCTGTCGTGACTAACCAGGAGGTGAATATGCAGACAGCGCTGGGGGCCATGTGCACAGTGCAATCAGCTCTCGGGATCCAGGAATGTGACCGTCCACTTGGTTAGACTAAGGGATGACTAGAGGCTACACACACCTCTGGGTGTCTGTGAGGGATTTCCCAAGAGAGCTGTGACGTGGGAGAGTAATGAGAGAAAATAGACGCCCCGCATCGGGGCACCGCTATCTAACCAACGAGCCGGGGGACATTGGAGGAAGGGCAGTGCAGTTCGTGTATGTGTCTGTCTGGTGTGTGTGTGTGTGTGTGTGTGTACAAGTGCTTTTCTTCATGAGTGATGTTGTCTGTCACTGCCGCCATCCTTCACTGCCATGGGAATGCAGTGTCTTTGGCCGTCCATCACGGGCTGATGACCTGCTGTCCATTTCTCTAAACTTCAGTGCCAGCCTGTGGCTGCTGAAGCATCCAGCCCTGTGGACTTAGCCGCTCTAGGGCTCTTTACCTCTGCAGTGTGAACGCAGCTGTTGAACCACTCTGCTCATGTCAGCCGATCTAAACCTCACATACACACCGCTCGCACAGCAGACAGACGCACAGCATGCACACACACACACACACACACACACCAGATAGAGACACACTGTAGTAGACATACACCACACATACCAGACATACACACACCACACATACACACACCAGATAGAGACACACCACACAGAAGTCAGATACATACACCACACACATACACACCAGATAGAGATACACCATAGTAGACACACACCACACATACCATACAGATACACCACACATGCACGCACACACACACACACACACACACACACACACACACACACACCAGACAGAGATACAACATAGTAGACATACATCACACATACCAGACAGATATACACAACACACATACACACGCCAGATAGATACACATATACCACACATAAACACACACATACATATCATATAGATATACTCAACACAAATACACACACATATATATTAGACACACACCTCACACACACACTCCTATAGATCCCCAATTGGTTGGCCTTCTGAGCAGTTTTCTTCCCCTTAACAGTCTCTGTGGTTTGAAATGATCAGATGAAGCCAGGCATGGGACAAGACCAGGTCTCCATTAGAAACATCACCTCCTGCCTAGGACAAGGGGCTATCAAATACTCTCTTGCTAATACAGCTGCCAGCTGGACCCTGAATGAACAAGTTACATGTCAGGGGCCTGTGGAGAGTTTAGAAAGTTCCACTCATGAAATTTGATGGGGAGTCTGTAAGTGGGCAAGTAACACAGTGCCTGGCTAGGAACACAGTGCCTGGGTAGGAACACAGGGCCTGACAAGTAACGCAGGGCCTGGCTAGTAACACAGGTGCCTAGTTAGTAACACAGTGCCTGGCTAATAAGAAGATGCAGGGGACACGGAGGAGGTGGCTGGATTGGTCATCCAGGCTGATTTTGCTTCCTGCAGGACAGCTATGAACATCTGGAGAAAACATTCCTTCGACTATAAGTGGATCACAACCTAGTGATGAAGGCCAGGGATGTTGCTGGACCACTACAAGGTGCAGGATGGCCTTTGGTATGAATGATCACGCCATTAGCCACCGTGAGTAGAGCAGCAGAGATCATGGGTGTGCAAGCAGCCCTGCGGTAGGATATAGGCCTTTGAGAATACATACACCTTCTGGGTGTGTAGTATGGTTAGGGGAGTGGCATTTCTAATTTTAGTTAAATTTTACCTTATTTAAAAAAATAGTCAGGACACACGGCATTAGGTATCACTCTGCCACTGTCGAAGTAAGTTTGTTCTCCCTGCTTCTCCTCCCCATTTTTCCTCTGTCCTCCCGCTCCGCCCTTAGCCACGCCCACACCGACAGCCTCCTTTCTCTTGCACCTCGCATGTCCTGCCATGCTCCCTCCTTACCTCCGTACCTTCGGGTGGTTTGTTGTTTGTTTTAAAAAATACTTTGACTATTTCATACATGTATACAATGTGTTTGGGGCCCTTCCGCCCCCATCACCATCTCCTCCTCCTCCACTCGCACAGAACCCACTTTCCTCCAGCAAGCCCCATCACGCCGTCATGTCTTTCCCACTGAGTTTATCTGGTGGTGTCTGTGTGAGCATGGGTCATTTGCTGGCACACAGGCAGCTCCAGCAGCTACACCACTGAAGAGAATGCTGTCATTTGTTTTCCTGATGATAGCCACTCTGATGGGGGTGAGATGGAATCTTAGAGGAACTTTAATTTGCATTACCCTGATGGCTAAGGATGTTGAACACTTTAAAAAATATTTGCTGGCTGGCTACATGTATTTCTTTATTTTTGAGAACTATTTGTTCAGTTTGTTGGTCCATTTATTAACTGGTTGTGTGTGTAAGTGTGCTCGTGTGCATGCATGTGCGTGTGCACGTGATTGCTTGTGTGAGTATAAGTGTGTGTGTTAAGTTTTGCAGTTCTTTTCTTTCTTTCTTGTGTGTGTGTGTGTGTGTGTGTGTGTGTGTGTGTGTGTGTGTGTTTTCTTTTTGACAGGGTCTCTCTCTCTGTAGCCCTGGCTGTCCTGGAACTCACTCTGTAGACCAGGTTGGCCTCTAACTCACAGAGATCTCCTGCCTTTGCCTTCCGAGGCTGGGATTAAAGGTGTGTGCCACCATTACCCAGTAGGTTTTGTAGTTTTTTATGTATTTAAGATATTAACTCCTTGTCTAAAGCAAAAGAGGCAAAATCTTAGAAAACATATTTTGTACCCTAATTTTAAAAGCAAAATAGTAGCCGGGGAGATGGTTCAGTGGTTAAGGACATTGGCTGCTCTTGCAGAGGAGCCAGGTTCAATTCCCAGAACCCACATGGTGGCTTGCAACCATCTGTAACTCCAATTCCAGGGATCCAAAGTCCTTTTTCTGACCTCTTTAGGGCACCAGGCACTAAACGGTGGTTCATAGACAAGCATGTAGGCAGAACATCCGAACACACAAAATAAAACAAATAAATTTAAAGAATAAAATAAAAACACTGACTAGAAAAAAAGAATTATCTAGCTCTGAATGACAATGGTGCTGAGGCTGAGAACTGCAGAGAGTGGGACCTACCCTCAGGGCATCACATCAGCTAGCCCAGGCTAGCCTCAGCCAAACCTGAGCACAGGATGCTCCCAAAGTTCCCTCCGTGCCCAGGACGAGAGCACCCAGGCCTTAGCAGAGAGGACACCCACAGATCACAGTCACACCCTCCCCGTTCTCCACCCTGCCGCCCTGTGACTTCAGGCCGGTTGACGAGGACAGGAACTCACATTGTTAACGGTGGAGATGAACAGCAGAGCCGCGCAGACGATGTGGAAGATGATGATGAGGGCCAGAATCACCAACATGTTCACAGGGCAGTGGAGGCCAAGGGGCAGCCGGAAAGTTCAGAGAGGGATGGAGAGCCAGAGGACGGCAGAGAGAAACCCACACCTGTCAGCGACAAGACGAAACTCACATCAACAATTTTTAACAGAATCTCAGAAAATTTCGACAGCTCTTCCTATTTTCCTGCCTTGAAGTCCAGAGGCTCTGCACCGCTGGATCCAAGTGGAATAGGAGAGTGAAGACCAATTAAAACCGCAAATTCAGAGCTGGGACGGTAGCTCAACTTGTAGAGTGCTTGCTTAGCATGTATGAAGCCTGGGTTCGATTCCCCACCACTGCATAAGCATGGGGGCACATGTCTATAATCCCAGCACTTCAAAATGGAGGAAGCAACACAGTGAGTTAGAGGCCAAAGGTCAGGCTGAGTTGCATGAGAAACTGTCTCAAGAGCCACGGGGGCCAGGCACATGGATCTACAAGTACCTGCCGCATCAACAACGCTGGTCTGATGACCTGAGTTCAAACCCGGGAAGAACTACTCCACAAAGTTGTCCCCTGACCACCACATGTGTGCTGTGCCATGCATGCCTACACATGGCATACAGCAGACATGTACACATGTACATTTTGTTTTGGGTTTTCGGGTTTTTTTTTTTTTTTTGAGACAGGGTATCACTATGCAGACCAGACTAGCCTGGAACTCATGGAGATTCACCTGCCTCTGCATCCCAAGCGCTGGATTAAAGGTGTATGCCACCGAGTTCAGCTTACACATACATCTGAATAGGTGTGATTTCATTTTCATCACGGATCCCACAGGAAGACTACACCTCCCAGAATCTCTTGCACTTAGGGTGGGCCAGTGGAGCTAGGTGATGGTGAAGGCTCTCACCTTGGACTGAGATTATGATTGACAAGACTCTAGATGTTCCTGAGATTTCTGGGTAATTTTTAAAAACTGGAGTAGGACAATCTGAATATAGAACACGAAGCAGCTGCAGATGAAATGAAAGTCGTGTGCCGCGCTCAGGAGAGACAGGCCTGCTCAAGAGAAAGCAAGACACTCGGCGTGTGAGAACCTGTCGAAGTCAGGCTGCTTCACGCAAAAGAGGGAGAGTGGATACAGGTGACGTGTGAGGTGGAAAGAAAAAAGCATTCAAAGCAATGGTTTGAATATTCCAGAGTGAAAGGTCACATGTGGGAAAGTCCATGAAACCTCTGAAGTGTTTTACAAACGTGACCATTGTGTGGGTCGACAAAACTCAAACGTTACGTGAACATGTCACATTAATGGGGTTGGAGTTCACCCCCAAATCAATACACGGCTACTTTCATGTCAGTAATTTGCAACCTGATTCTGTTATTAAAATCTGTAAGAAATAAAATTGACTTTTAATCTCTCTGTTTAAATACAATGCAGACTAGGCCTTGTTTGTGCTGTGATGAAGTCCTAGTTTTTAGTGAACTAATACACATGTAAGTGTGTAATAAGTGTGTGTGCATGCACACCTGCACACACAATGTTTCTGAAATACTTGAAAGTTGTTAAACCCAACCTTCTTTTTATCTAAATGCTTTACTGTGTATTTCTAAAAAATGAAGATATTTCCTAACATAGCCAAAGTGTAATAATCATAATTAAGAATTTAATGCAAGGGCTGAAGAGCTAGTTCTGTGTAAATGTGCTTGCCAGGCAAGGGTGAGGACCTGAGTTCGAATCTCCAGATCCTAGTCAGAAGCTGGACCAAGTATCACAAGCATCTATGGTCTTCCTGGGAGACGTGAGACAGAGACAAGAGGAGTCCTGGGGAAACTCAGGGACCAGCTCCTGGCTCACACAGCAGAAAAGGAACAAAGAGGTCCCAGTGGCAAACAGGGTGGAAGGTGAGCACCGACAGGTGAGGGCTTCACACTGTGGCACATGTGAACTCACTTTCACATACACAAATGCATGCACGTGATACACTCACCACCGAATCTACCATGACACAATGCCAGCATCTCATTTCTCACCCATATAATAACCTCCACATAGCCCGCTCACATCTCTGTAATTTTTCTACTCCGAGATGATTTTCTACTCCATTTACCCCTCACTCTCTTCACTCTAGAGTGGCCCCTCACTCATTTTCATGACAGTGACAGGATTTAAGAGCGAGCATTGGCCATCTTCGTGGGATGTCTGGCATGCTGGTTGCTGTGGTTTGCGTATGAAGTGCTTGGCTGTCAGCTGGAAGGCATTTGGGAAGTGACTGGGTTTTAAGGGCCCTGGCCAAAGGAGTGGATTCACCTCTGAGTGGATTCATAATACGTTGGCATTGGGATGTGGAAACTTTAGGAGGCAGGGCCTAGCTGGAGGAAGTAGATCTCAGAGGGTGTGTGGGGTCCTTCGTCCTCTCTTTTTTGTTTCCTGTTTCTGGGATAGCCTCTCCCTCCATAGATCCTGACTGCCACAATGTTCTGTCTCACCATAGGCCTAGAATCAACAAAGCCAGACAGAACCCAAATGAAGCCGCTCTCCTTCAAGCTGTTGTCTTGGTTACAGAAACAGAAAGCCTGACCAACATTCTCAGTGCTTCTCCATTTCTTTCCCTTCCTGTTGCTGTGCTAAGATAACAAAAGCAGTTGATGCCGGCTCACAGTTCAAGGTTGTAACCCATCACACAGGGAAGTCAGAGGCAGGAGCATCTGAGGGATGGGTGCCCGAGGGAAGTCACAGTGGTAGCGGCATCCTCTGTGAAGAAGTAGAAAGGGAGGGATGCTGTGCTCAGCTCACTTTCTTCTCTTTGTGCAGTGGAGGATACATCCCAGGGAATGGTGCCACCCAGAGTGGATGCCTCTTCTCACCTCATTAGTCTAGTCACAATGATAGCACCACAGGCATGGCCAAAGTCTGTCTCCCCAGGGACTCTCGATCTCAGCAAGTTGCCAGCTAAGACTGTTATCACACCCACGATTCAAGGCAGGCTGTTTTCCTAGCAGGAATGCTACATAATGGATGTGACTTTGGTACACCCCACCAAATTGACAGAGTGTCAATCTGTCCCATGGGTGATGTGACCAGCTGGTAAGCTGGTTACGGCTGCCACATTCACTTACCTCTCCTTTGTAATCGCAAAGCCATCTGGGGCTGGAGGTCTAGCTCTGTGGCAGAGTACTGACCTAGATGTGCCAGATCCTGGAGTGTGTGAGCCCTAGCACTGTGTGTGTGTGTGTGTGTGTGTGTGTGAGAGAGAGAGAGAGAGAGAGAGACAGACACAGAGACAGAGACAGAGACAGAGACTGACAGAAACTGAGAGAGACAGGGGAGGGATAGAAAGAGACAGGTATAGAAAGACAGAGAAAACAAGAATAAGGAGAGAGAAAGGAGAGAGAAGAAAAAAGCAAGACTCCAACAGTCGTCTGTAGGCCAGGGAGCCATGCAAACATGAGGATTTGAGTCCAGATCCACTTATAAGGTTGGGTGTGGTGAAGCACACCTGCTAACTGCCCCCCACACCCCATGTGATGGGGAGGAGATGGCCAGATCCTGAGGGCTTCTGGGTCAGCCAGACTAGCCAAAATGGTGGACTCCAAGTTGGTGAGAAACTCTGCCCTGGAAAAATAGGTGGAGGAAGACAGCTGATATTGACCTCTGGCCAATACATGTGTGCACATACACCGGTGAGTGGGTTCACATACATATGTGCACAACACACACAGAGTTATTTTCAGGGAAAGATGCTTTATTGTGGTAAAATATGAATAAAATGTAATTGGCCCCGGTGGCATTTTGTCTAAACACTGGATCTCCATTACCGCCACCCAGTTCTAGCACAGCCTGTGACTCTATCATGTGTACCCGTTACACAGTCATCCCTCCCAACTCAGCCCTAAGTCTCTGGATGCTCTCCTGGGCAGTGACAGTCGAAGGGACAGCGGCTGAGCTGCTGTGTCTGGCCTCCTCCACTCGGCTTTGTATTTTCCGCATTATAACACAGACACGGAGGTTTCCTGAGATGAAGGAAGGGCCCAGCTGTCAGGAAGCTTTCACCTCAATGGTCTGAGTGCCTGCAGGTATTTGTGAAATGGAATTCTTCAAGACTTTGTGGCACCAACTGGCCTGCCGCCTCCCTCTGGTGGACGTGCCTTGGACAAACCCTCCACCCTTCTCTGCCAGCTCTCCTTGCTTATATCTTACGACTCCTCCATTATTCCCATGGGGACTGACCGAGGTTCATGGGCTCCCACAGACAGGCTTATCTCTGAGACCAGGACTCAGCACACGAGCCAGGAGCTGTGTAGCCACAGGACACATTCGGGGAGGTCCAGGCATCTATTCCTGCAGCAGCTGGCTCACCAACTCAGATTCCTCCAATTCTTTACTAAGAGACAAACTCCCCTTTGTTGAGGCCTGCGTCATGCCCAGGGTCACCACACACTGCCTCCAAATAACTGTACTTCTGACCTTCCAATAAAAGCGCACCCGCCAGGCTGAATGCCTCAGCACAGCCGTATACTCAAAGGCCCGTTCACCAGGACAAACCCAGGGCTGGACTGCAGTTCTTCAGGGTTCTGCTCACACAACACAGACACACACACAAAGCTGAAACTCCTAAAAAGGAACAGGAGCTTCAGCCCGAATCCTTTCAAATAAACCCGTTCAGGTTCTAAAGCAACTAATTGAAGAAAATGACAAGGTTAAACTTTTCGTTCAGATGAAGGTGGGAGGTCCAGGAGTTCAAAAGCAGTTCTGGCTGCTTAGATAGTGAGTTCGAGGCCAGCTTGGACTACAAGAAAGCCTGTCTCAAAAACAGAAAAAGAGGAGAAGGGGGGGGGGGCCCCGGAGAAGTGCGGGAGGGGAAGGAGGGAAACTGCTGAACACTGGGATTGCAGCTCCTAACCGGTTTCCCCGTGGATTCTGAGGAGCTGAGCTCAGTTCCTCAGGCTCACAAGGCAGGCACTTTATCCACCAAGCTGTGTCCTCAGCCCCATTATTAACTTCCTTTGAAAAATGCTTGTTACATTTATTTATTTATTTATTTATTTATTTAATGTATGACTGTGGGCATGTTCATGCCATAGTGTGCTTCTGGAGATCAGAGGGTAACTTTGGTAGCCAGCTC